CATACTCAGGTATTGTTATTCTTGATATGAGACTACAAGAACAACCTAGAACAATAATTTAAAACAATCAGAGTGTGTTCATGTAGTAAAGATTACAATATGATTCTTTCTAATACATAAGTGGAAATATTGAATCGGATTGTCGTCTGGTGGATACAAGTTGACACATGACAAATTGTAGTTGAACAAAAATAAAACAATTCAAAATATGAGGATTATTTATTTGTCACGTGGATGGAGTACGATGACCTAAAATTGTTTAACTACTACAGCTGTAAACCTAAAATAATAAAAATATCTTTCGTTAAAAACCATGCATCTTATTTACATCATACGGATGTTATTGTGGTTTCTCTCAGTTTGACCAGTATGCAGTAAAACAAGGCATATATTAAAGCTACATTGTTAATATTTTACGCGGCAACATTCTGTACACACTGCGCCATCTAGCGTCAGTGTATTTAGTTTCTCCTGTTTAGTATATACGAACAAACAAACAAGAATGTCCCGTATGTGAGTTGAAGGTGAGGGCGGCATTTTGTTGTGGGACGTCTGACAGACACATAGTTCGTTCACATTATTCTAGGACTCATAATATTGTCTGGGAAAAGTGTTACAACAACGAAGTGAATGATTATTGGTTGCTGTACGTTGTGTCAAAAGTCAATCTCGCTGTCCGACCTGTAAGTATTGCGTTCACTAGACCGAACTACTGTTGTGTTGTCCACCGTTTACGTCCGAGGGCGAGATTCCGTTTCAAAACATATTTTTCCTGTTTCGCTCGTTGACTGTAAATATTTCGCTTGATCATCAGACCCGCCCATATTATTCAAGTTTCGCAGTGGATGTAATATATGTCATGATTATTATTAAGTTGTTTGCTTGTGATATAGTGATTATCCGGTAGTTATCACGGTTCTAGTAACCTTGACGAGATTTTTTGGGCGAACTCAATCGGAATGCCTAAAGTTAACATTTGACTGACCTTTATTTGACCCGCTCTTAGGTAATGCAATGTTGAGCGGACATGGATGAGAATGTAGATCACGTGCAGGACATCGATGTTGGAAATGACAATGATAAAGTTGTTATTCTGAGAAATAACCAGGAAGAAACCATTGGTGATAGTAAAACACAAGAAAACACAAATCAAGATGTTGATAAAGAAAACGGCAACGATTTGAGCACTGCAGATGACAACCAAGAAGAACGCATTGTGGCTGGACATAATGACGGTGACAACGACAACGACAGGAATCAGTCTGAATCAACAGACACGTGTGAAGCGAAAGATATTAAGGAAGTCATTGAAGATAAAAATAAAAGTGAGATTGAGATAGTAGGCAGCATGCATGGAATACCTGATCATGGTGCTGGTGGTGATGGTGTTGATAATGTAGGTGTCAAAACTGAAGATTTAATGCAGGAGAAGACAGAAGATGACAGTCTTGCTAAAGGTATTCCGTCATATTTTTTTTAAATTGTAAAGGGTTGTCCAGAGTTTACGACGTCGCTGAGTTTGGAATTACCACTATGTCTGTATAGATTATTGTTTACATGCATGTTTACATTACATATATACAGATATCTGTGTTTTATAAAATAAAATGCAGTGTATTGTAATGTGCATTGTACCATGTCCCTATTGTAGGACTGATTCTAAAGATGGTGTTTGCTCTAGGAGTGTAGTTGCATTGTTAGTCCAACTTAAAACCAGTGCCAAAAGCAAACAGTATCAGTGAATTACCAGTACTCTGGCACTCTCCCTATTGTTGTTTTGTATTAATCAGTAGGGTGAATAAAATATCAGTATGGACATATTTCTATTCATTGCTATGTTAAATGTTAGCCAGCTGTCACCATTGTATCACTCACTACCCTGGGGCTTATAGACAACCTACAGATGGCTGATAATGTTATAATTGATATACGGGTATATATGTACATATATAATGGGTCACTATGGCTGAAAGATGTTAAAATAAAAATTGCGGATGTCACATTTAACACATCAATCATGTACATGCATTCATTTGAACATTTGAGTCCTGAGAGACACAGTGTCTCTACCTCCAAAGAAAATAAGGTCTCTCATGTGATTTGTTATCATGATAGTATTAATTGAAAAAATGCAAATGTTGTACCGGTAATGTGAAATCATCAATGTTTGATTAACGGTTACTGTGAACAAAAAGAAACCCACCCAGCAGTATTACAATATAACTCACTGTTTTGTGAACAAAATAGCAATATTGATAGTTCAAATGGTAAGCTCATATCAATATTGCCACTTTGTTAGCAAAACAGTAACTTATATTGCAATACTGCTCACTGGGTTGCTTTTAAACCTGAATAGAAAAGCAATAACACACAAGTCACACACTTACAAAACATGTTTTAGGTCTAGTAATTAATTAATACTGATATTTTATTGACACAACATTGATGCAGAAAGGATACAGCAGTATGGTTTAAAAAATAGCACATGGATGCATTTGTGAACGAGTTGCTCTTATTGTTTATTTAGTGGATAATTTGAATAAAAAAAATACACATTCTGACTAATTTCAATATTGTAGTGTATCATATTAGGCATCTCTTATATATAAATTTGTTTCACTGATTTTGTTTGCAGAAGAGATGAAGGGTGATTTTCGAAATCCCCAGTTACTTGACAGCAATGGTAGAAGTCAGCTTTATGAGAGAGGTAGACAGTATGACCAGAAATCAATGAAGGACCATGCTTTGAATTGTTACTTAGGGTGTCTTACTGGCCTAAATGAAGACAATCAATTTTCAAACCTACCACAGTGTTTACATCAGGTATGTCCTCATACTATCCCTATACCATACACGATCAATACAGTACTATACATAAAGTTACAAGATTCTGCATAAGTTTGCAGAAAGTTTGTATGTGAACAAAAAAGCAACCCATCCAGCACTATTTTAATATAACTTTAATGTTTTGCTAACAAAGTAGTTATATTGATATTAGCTTATCTTTACAAACTGTTTTATTTGAACTATCAATATTGCCATTTTGGTAGTAAAACAGTGAGCTATATTGCAATACTGCTGGTTGGGTTGTGTTTTTGTTCATAGTAAGTGAATGCGTCACAAGGCATTGCTGTAGATTTCCTACTGTAGCTGGAATTCCAATCATAACTAGTATGTTTATGATACTGTCATTGATATCACAGTTGCCATCATTGGTACTCATATACAAGATATTTTAGATATCTTTCTTTCTTTCCAGATTGCTGATATATATTTTGAGAAGGAAGAATGTATCCTTTAAAGTACACAGTATAAACTGTGGTCTCCCCCAAATATCTGGACAGACAATATTATGTACTGATGGTCCTATTCAAGTCCATATATAGAAGATAGAATCATTTCTTTGAATGTTATTTTGTGTACATTGACAGTAACTTTACTTATTGCTATAGAACTGCACTTTGATGATTTGTGTGTTCATGCATATAACTGTTTCATTTTCTATGAAGTGCATATAATCCAGTTGCACTAAGCATTTCTATTCAGACTCACAATAATATAACACCTGGTGACTTTCCCAGGCATGTTAATTGTTATTAATAATGTTTATACTGTGAGCAAAAATTCCATTTTCCAAAACCATTGTCATAAATCGTAATTTATTGGGCTTTCTGTCGATTATTATTCATGTGTTGCTCAGACTTTGTACATGGACAGTGTGTTGTTATAAACAGATGCTTATTGATTTATGCTCTGGCTGGCCCAATTTGCTTATCTAGTATTATCATTATTTTATAAAATTTTTTTATTTTGGTTGAATTTTACATGGGCAAACCTGGTATTGGTCCTTTCAAGCACTCCCAATAGAGAAATATAGTTATCAAATTGCGTGAATGTGATAACCATGAGCAAAAACTGAAACAGCAATTGTGTGTCTGCCTTTCTTGAGCTGTCTCGCTCATCCCAAGCCTGCAAAAAAAAACCCTCAAAAAACTAGGAGTTGGCATGAAAAGTTTTATTTGTCAAAGCATGTTGGCAGGATAAAATTTCTCAGTGTTGAACTTCTCTATAGCGAATGACGAAACATAGATTGAGACGCACAACTGAACACAGACTGTGATCCAGATAAGATCAATCAATGGTTGACTATTCATTTTTAATCCCTTGTCATCCAAAATGTTGTCAAATATAAATCAACTCTATTTGTGGCAGGAAATTATTTAACAAAAATTACTTTTATGGTAGTTTAGACAATGTATGAAGGTACATGTACTTGTTTTAACGTTAATCAATGCAAGCTGAGTTTTTGGTGAGTGCCTTAGGTTGTTTGTTGTTTGTAACCTGTGCTCTGATTCGTTGACTGGGACCCTGGTGCAACTGGTGACCATTTTAACCTTGTCTGTATCATTGGTATATGAGGGGAAAATGTCCCTGTCCTTGTTTACTGTTATCATTGAATCCATCATAACACTTTTTTGTTGTTC